AGGTATGCACTGGAATAATGTCATGGATATGGTGCCCTGTTGGCTACTGGATAATTTACTTCAAGCCATGTACACTCTGGGGTTAGCAATGAGGTCTGCATTGCACAGATAGCGAGGTTATAATATATGTCGTACAAAACAGCTCTGCCGAATTGGCTGCTTCATCCGTCAAACATCCTCTCACTATATTGCAGGGTCTCGTCATTGTCACCGTGCTCGCTGTCGCCGCCGCCGCCCCGGCACCGGAGACACTTGGCTACAAGCCCGCTCCGGCCCCCCACCACCCGGCACCCTCGTACAAGCCGGCCTCTTACCACTCTGAGGCCCAGTACAAGGAGGCGGCCAAGCCGTTCGCTTACGACTACGCCGTCAACGACCACTACACTGGTACCAACTTCGCCAAGAAGGAGGAGAGCGATGGCCACAATACCCAGGGATATTACTCGGTGGCTCTGCCCGACGGCCGTGTCCAGCACGTCAAGTACGTCACCGACAGCTACGGTGGCTACAACGCTGAGGTCACTTACGAGGGAGAAGCCCAATACCCCGAGTACCATCCCGATCCTGCCTACAAGGCTGCCGCTCCTGCCTACAAGGCTGCCGCCCCAGCCTACAAGGCTGCCGCTCCTGCCTACAAGGCTGCCGCCCCTGCCTACAGGGCTGCCTCTCCTGCTTACAAGGCTGCCGCCCCTGCCTACAGGGCTGCCTCTCCTGCCTACAAGGCTGCCGCTCCTGCCTACAGGACTGCCGCTACGGCCTACAAGGCTGCCGCTCCGGCCTACAAGGCTGCCGCTCCTGCCTACAGGACTGCCGCTACGGCCTACAGGGCTGCCGCTCCGGCCTACAGGGCTGCCTCTCCTGCCTACAAGGCTGCCGCCCCTGCCTACAGGGCTGCCGCTCCGGCCTACAAGGCTGCTGCCCCGGTCTACAAGCCCGTTTACAAGCATGCTTACAGCTCTCCCACCCCGGTATACAAGGCTGCGGCATACTAGTCAACCACTGAGAATGACTTCCTATTTAAATGCATGGATGTTGTGTCGTGATGATTTCTGACCAGCTGTATTTCAATACAAGGAACTACGATCTGGACTAACAAACTATGAACTCTGGACCACGTGGTGTTGACTGAAGCGATCATGCGTTTTCCAGTGGGATAATTTCATTGATGCGACTGTGTTAAGGAATTGGCCTTTGCATGGCATATTGATGCGGTCCCAGTGGGCGTTCTAAGCTGGGATGGGGATGCGTGGGAGAGAGGGCCATTTTAGTCAGATCACCGGAAGAGGAACGATGCTAAATATTCAGAAACTTGGTAGAGGGGCTCTATTCCCCGCTCCTCCTTGTTTCCGGGCACTTAGATTGCTTGGTACGATGAGTCATCTTTTCATCAGTTGTAAGAAAAAACCGTCATGTTGGTTACGCTGACAAGTGATTCGTACCCAGTTTAGCTTTTTCCTCACCCAAGCAAGTTGTGTTTGATAAAGGTTGTGCCCATATTCCCCGAAAAATGGGTAGCAAGTGCTTGATTCTTTCAAATTTTTCTACCACGCGATCACCTGATTGGAATGAAGAACAATTCGTTTGTTCGTTTCTGTAACAACTCCACGACCGTTCCAGGCAGAGAGGTGTGAGACTGACACAGCGTTCCCAGCACTCAGCCTCACCGCAATTGTCTGGGTTGTCCGGGCCGCCACTGAGTACGTCAGACACGTCGCGGGGACGCACAGCCAATGAGTTCCACAAAACTTGTGGTGCTAAGCCGACCCCGGTTTGAGTTAACAGAAAAGGCGCGCGGAAAATACACCGGACTAAAATGGAGTGGGAAAAGACTTTTGGAACACCAATCGTCACCATTTAGGCATCAGATCGCGGAAGTAATCCCATGCCCCACACGTATCACACGACCAGGCATAGTTGCAACCGAGCGTGATGACGTCACTGGTTGCGCTGAGATGATGTGCAAATGTGTTGAATAAACGTTGCTGTACGACTCCAACATCGACCAGGCCTTCTGAAGGATTACGGTCTCATGGTCTCAAATATACGGATTAGAGACGCAAGATTCTCCGGTATATCAGCCCGCAGCCCAGCCCGCCCCGCCAAACTAGTGATCCAGCCCGAAAAGCCCACTGTACTACATTGCTCATCCTTCTAAACACATTTTAATATTTGATAGCAATCGATGTGCCATTCAATCTAACACAGCTATGCAAAATTTGGCACCACTTTGCCGCGCCGTTCGAAAACCATTCTGGAAAACATTGGGGGGTCAAACTGACTACCACCCGAGCGCGTGTTGAGCTATTGCACATGCATGCTGTTATTTCAGACTTATTTTAGACCTATACATTCACACGCGCTCGGGTGGAGGTCAAGCTGACCCACACCCCGAAGTTTTTTTCTTGAGTGGAAAGCGAGCTGAAAAAAACATCATGATATCATGGATGCCCGGGCCACCCTGACACAGTCTCACCCAAAATACTGAGCACATCGTCGCGGGCGTATAGGTCAGAAACCGGAGTGGATAAGGGGGTAAGGGGGGCCAGGATGAGAGCTGTACTGAATAATCTTCAAGATGGCTTTTTTAGTTCAAAATCGCATACAAACGCCAAGAACTCCCCTTAATCTTCCCTCGTTGTTAAGACATGTCAATATTAATCATTGAACTTACTAACCACGGTGCATGGAGGGGGAATGAGGAAAGCGTCTGGCTACCCAGCTATAGTGTATGATTGGCGTATAGTGGTGCGCGTATATACCATATAGTAGTGGTCGACCGCGTCAGCTAATGTTGAAAATTTCAGAGAAATTTAAAACGCGGACACTCGACCTCTATGGACGTTGAATGGCAACGACGTCCCCAAATGTTCGCGGTTCGAATGTCTCTGCGTCAACCTGTTCTGAAAATGGTCGTCACTTCAAAAAGTATTACACCCGAACGATGTTATCATAATCATAAAATGGCTGTCATCAGCCTTGGGAACGTGAACGTAGTTTGACACTGCTGTGTCACCGGAACACGCACAATGGAAACGTCACGACTATTTAGGTTAAAACTACCGTGTTTCACAAGCTTATTTGGTGTTGATAAAACAGATCAGGTCACAAGAAACACCCTAACACGGGACTCAATCGCTTGAAATAGTAGTTTGCTCTCAGCGTCTGACTAGTTTGCCGCAAGCTTGCATCTTAAAGATGAAAACTAATTCAACATTTTGTCCGGATTTCAGCGACCCACCGCACTAAAGTCTTGGCACCAGTGACGTCACGCTTGCTTTTATGAGCCAATGCAAGCCTGCTGTTTTCTTTCCTCGACGGACCTTGAGTAAGCTAGACGAAGATGAAGCGAGAATCACCGGACGGTTATACCACCCTTATACCACCATGTCTCCGGTGTAAATATATCAAAAGGTGCCTACATTCATTCATTCCGTGTTCCAATCTTTTCCAGTAAAGGCGTTTCCATTAATACCCTTTTAAAGCGCTTCCTAACCACATTTCGTGGTCTATTTCACAAATTATCGGAAATAAGCAAATCTCAAGAAAAGGGTTTGTTACGTCACATTTCGAGGCATGCCATGGACTGAACTATTCCAAGAAACGGTCGGAAATTGCTTGCAACTTTGTCGTGATGGTATGTCTATTGCGTTCAAACATTTTAGCTATACTTCATTATGATTTGCCCATGATAGGAAACATAGCTAACATACGTGCCAAAAACCTGGACAGCATGGAAAGCATCAGCTTTGAGGCCTTCGGGTTTTTGCTCTGGCTTCGAGCAATAATTATTGGGTAGAACCTAGAAATGGCCTACGTCATCATCATATCCGCATTGCCATTCAAAGCCTAGTTATGTATGTGGCAACATAATCGACATTTTAAATGACGTATGCCGACATGTGTGGCATCGATGCATTTTAGTACGACAAGATTTGTATCTGTAACAGTCAATTGACAGTTTAATTAGCTCAAAATACTTCGAAATAAGGGATACGCATGCATGCATCAGGCTGGCCGGCCAGTATCTGTTTCCGCCCGTGCATTTCTAAGGAAGGTTGTGTGGAGGGGTAAGGGCATCCTACTGACATGAGCCCTCTTAAACATTCAGTCTCATACATCCACACGATACCTGTTCTCCCATATTCTGGTTTCTCCTCGGACTTAACCCTTCGGACGAAATACGACCGAAAAGGTAGCGAATTGGATACGATGCAATGGGCCCAAAGCAGGCCACGGAGGACGCCAGAACGGCTGTCAGCTGGGGAAGGCAGGGAGGTATTAATATCTCCAATGAATTATTCCAAATCGTTTGCATGGTCGTCTTGGTTTCGGGTATTATATAGGGCTAAAAAAGATCGATACGAACCTGCTGCGTCATGAGCTATCTGTTCTTGCCTATCTTCCAACTCACCCGTAGAATGGCGTGTCCACATGCAACTTAATGGGTCACATCATGGTCTACTTCTAGGAGGTGGGCGTGTACCAGGAATTCCGTGCGAATTCTTCAGCGCAGCCGGTGACAAATCTGACAGTGACCGTCTATGAGTGGTTAGCGGCCGACCAATAAAAGCGAAAGCACCATGGGAACGGACACCACTTGCACTGCACAACCAGCCATCTGAACACACTATGCAGGTATGTGCTGGAATTAAACCTTTTATATGGTGCCCTGTTGGCTACTAGAGAGCTTATTTCAAACCATGTACATTCCGGGTTTAGCGATATGGCATGCATTACAAGAAAAGTGAGGGTATGTTATATATATATATATATATATATATATATATATATATATATATATATATATATATATATATATACATATATAAATGCATATATATACCTATATATATATATGTATATACATACATATACATATATATATATATATATATATATATATATATATATATATTAATATACATCATAGCATATACATCGTAACAAAACTGTACTATTAAACTCGCTACCTGATCGGTAAACTGTCCTCTCACTGTATTGCGGGGTTTCGTCATTGCCGCCGTGCTGGCTGTTGCCGCCGCCGCCCCGGCACCGGAGACGCCGGGCTATAAGCCCGCTCCGGCCCCCTACCACCCGGCCCCCTCCTACAAGCCGGCCTCTTACCACCCGGAGATCCAATACAAGGAGGCGGCCAAGCCGTTCGTTTACGACTACGCCGTCAACGACCACTACACCGGCACCAACTTCGCCAAGAAGGAGAGTGATGGCCACAACACCCAGGGATATTACTCGGTGGCTCTGCCCGACGGCCGTGTCCAACACGTGAAGTACGTCGTCGACAACTACGGCGCCTACAACGCTGATGTCACCTACGAGGGAGAGGCCCAGTACCCCGAGTACCACCCCACCCCTGCCTACAAGGCTGCTGCTCCTGCCTACAGCTCTGTCCACAAACCTGCTTACAGTCATGCCGCCCCGGCATATAAGTCCGCTGTATACTAGCCGCATGGTGGCAACGGCCACCTATTTTAATATATTCATGTTTGTGCCGCCATGTTTTTCGCCATGTTTCGTTACATATGACTTCTTCAATGGGCTGTCATCAAATGCTGGTGTTTACAACGTTTCATCTAAGCATGGTCTTTCAATTTTGGTGGGAATGAAGAGAGATTTAAAATGATGCTTTTCGGATGCAACTTAAAAAAATAAACCGGTTGTCGTGCAAAAGCGTCATGCTTAACCTGTTGGCCCTTCTTTTTCCCTAACACCTCTGCCCCTCTACGGCCTGAGGACTGAGCACACCTCTGCCCCTCTACGGCATGAGGACTGAGCACACCTCTGCCCCTCTACGGCCTGAGGACTGAGCACACCTCTGCTCCTCTACGGCCTGAGCACTGAGTACATCTCTGCCCCTCTACGGCCTGAGGACTGAGCACACCTCTGACTCTCTACCGCCTGAGGACTGAGCGCATCCTCTCTCAGTTTTTAAAACGCCGTATAAGCCGTTCCAGTCAGGCCCACCACATTTCCAGAGCCAATCCATGGGCCCGGAAAATGTAGGTAATAGGAGGGCAACACCGTTGTTTACCCAAATCTGGGCTGGGATCAGTCAACTTTAACCGTAAGTTCTTAGATATCTGAATTGTTCCGCTACGGGCGTTGACCAAAATGAAGTTGCCAAAAGCGACAAATGCCACAGCCCAAATTGGAGTGATTTCCATGGTCCATGCAGCTACTCTTCATAAAACGGTTATTGCTTACAAAAGTGATATGAATAGCATTATAGTCGTCTTCTTTAAAGAACGCACACATGGGTTGTTACAGTTACATCACTACATTTCTGATGGTGAAAAACATGACTTGTGGCATAAAACCACATGGTCTGAGCAGTACATTTTTTACAAAAAAGCTCAGGACAGAACGCATAATCTTTTCGCAGCATGCCTCGATGGCTTCCTGTGACTTTTGTAGATAATCTGCTGTGAACTCATAAACTTGACTGAACTTGGCTGGCACAAAGCCAAACCAGACCATCATCTGCATCTTAGTAATGCAAACTAAGTAAGAGTTTCATGATTGTTGCTTATGTGGAATAAATATACCCTTTAAGGTTTCACTGAGTACGTTATGGCGGTGCGACCCGAGCAAACATCTACACAACTGCGTGTTTAGTATGCTGGGCTACACAACCTGTGTACGGTGCTATATTCCACGGCGAGCATCACGTCTCTTCAAGGTAAATTTTGTTCACACCTTGTTGGACCGCATGCAAGGGCGACCAGGAGGGTCCGCATGAGGAGCATAGGCGTCACGCTGGACGCTGGCCGCCCCGTCCTTTTGCCGGCAATATCGGCCGGTGACAGGCCGCAGCCGTGTCGGGCCGTCTGGTACGCGCGGGATGTAACGTCCTGTCATGGACCACACACGTAAACGGCGACGATTGGTAACAGAAATGTCCTTTTCCGCTCCGCCTTTCCGCCTTTTCTTCCATCCGGCGTATTTTCCGCTCAAGTTTTTTGTCACCATGGACTCAGGTAGGGTTTGCATCATGAGTGACTCGAGCTGACTGGCTTTCCATGCTCGTGACGTGTGTGACGCACACAGTTACGTCCCAGACAACGCAGACATCGCGGTGAGGCTGGATGCCGAGAGGGTAATCGTATCAGGCTTAATATCTGACACGTTTCTGCCTGGAATGGCCTTAATGTTATTCCAGAACCGAGCATTGGCTCTTCTCTTCATTGCAATCATGTTGTCACGTAGCAGGGGCGCATAAGAAAATAAAGAAATTGATTCTCGTTTTCTGGGGAAATCACATGCAAATCAAACAATGGCACTCCTTCCATAAAGGATATGAAGAAGAATCATTGTACCCACCAATAACGGTGCGCAAAAATCGGGGGAGGGTACAGAGCCCAGAACCAACATCAACTTTCGTAAAATTTAGCATTGTCTCTCTTTAGACATTGACCAAAAAAGCATCATCAAAATGACCCTTGCTCTGGCCCACCCATAGCATGACTTGGAGGCTTGTGCCCAGGCCACATGGTTTAAGTATCTCATTGTATTGAAATACAGACGGCAAGAAATCGTCACAACGCAACATTCATGACCCTAAATAAGAGGTCATTCTCAGTGTTTGACTAGTATGCCGCGGCCTTGTATGCCGGGGCGGGAGAGCTGTAAGCAGACTTGTGAACAGGCTTGAAGGCCGGGGCAGCCGCCTTGTAAGCAGGGGCGGGATGGTACTCGGGGTACTGGGCCTCCCCCTCGTAGGTGACATCAGCGTTGTAGCCGCCGTAGTTGTCGGCGACGTACTTGACGTGCTGGACACGACCGTCGGGCAGAGCCACCGAGTAATATCCCTGGGTGTTGTGGCCATCGCTCTCCTCCTTCTTGGCGAAGTTGGTGCCGGTGTAGTGGTCATTGACGGCGTAGTCATAAGCGAACGGCTGGGCCACCTCCTTGTACTGGGGCTCCGGGTGGTAAGAGGCCGACTTGTAGGACGGGGCGGGGTGGTAGGGGGCCGGAGCCGTCTTGTAGCCCGGCGTCGCCGGTGCCGGGGCGGCGGCAGCAACAGCCAGCACGGCGGCAATGAAGAAACCCTGGAATGCCAAGAGGGATGTGCTATTATAAAAACAATAAGCCATGCATTCTGGCATTTTCACTATTTTGCAATGCATCTCGTTAGCATGCTTCTAATGCAACACTGTTTATCAACGTTCCCACCACGATACACTTCTCGGAAATATCTCTAACATCTGACATCTAAGCACACCAGTATTATTCGTGAATGAGATACCTGCATGTTGTGTCTTGGTGAGCGAGTGCGCAGTGGAACTGGTACATGCATCCACATTGCCTCGGCTTTTATAGATCGGCCGCGGGCCGCTGATGCAAGGTCACAAACGTTGCCTCACTGATCGTGCGGCTCCCGCTACCACCGGCTGGTCTGGCGACATGATAGGTTAACACGGAACCACGGCCACTGCCGGATACTCGTGCAACTGCTAGAGAGCAATTGAGGCGCCCATTATGTTTGTTTCGTGTTAACGTACACATAATGCCAGATGTTGGTATGTCATGAGAAACGTATCGGTAAAGGTCCATGCAGATGGTAAAGAAAATATGATTTGAAGAAGAGTGGTCGTATCTCTTTATATTTCTAACGTTTTATCTATACGTAATCACAAACAAACACACACACACGCACCGCACACACATACACACACACACACACATACACACACACACACACACACACACACACACACACACACACACACACACACACACACACACACACACACACACACACACAAACACACGAACGCTTACATTCAGATATATAGTTGTATATGTACATACACATACATATACGCATATATATACACATGTATTGTTCATTGCACATCACAGCTTGACCTGCATTGAGAAGTTGTTGACGCAAGCTTTTGCTCTTTCTGACAGTAGGCCTTGAATTAGGTTTATTTTCATGGATAATTTCAACGATGGATAGCTTTCAGAGCAGCCAAAAGTTTCGCAAAACTAACAGCATTGAAAGTGAGGTTTGTTTGTTGTACTGTGTTTAGCTAGTATGCTTCATTCATCAATGACTATAATTTTGCTTAGGCAAGGATTGATGATAATGCGTACCGGCAGGTACGTCCAATCACATCTATAAAATATACAATAGGCTTTAGACCATTCAAGACCATATGATGTACCGCACTGAGAAGGTAACACAAAAAGAGAAAGAAAACAGTGGTCGACGCAAGCTGCTCAAAGTAAGTTATACTGCATTAATTTACTGGTCATGTCACTCTGCATCTCAATCACCGGCGCAGTGTTTCTGATGAGCATTGTTCCGAGCACTTGCAGTCTTCTTTTTTCGCTTCATCTCCTTAGAGTAGCGGTGTTAGAGACGCCAGTTGGTCTTGTCAGAGACATAGCTTGTGACCTGCTTTTCAACGACCTTAAAGGTCGACATTTTGCACCTGAATGGTCAGACTACCGTTCAAGGTTGTAAACGTGTGTCCAATGCAGCGCATTCTGGACGGATTTAACAGTTCCGGAACAACCTACCAGCGCAGAACAGGCGGGGACGTTTAATGCACAGTGTAATTGTGGCAAACTGATCTTAAAGATTAAAGATTGAAATGATGATTAAATTTGATCAGATTAGATTAAAGATTTAAGATTAAAAATTAGTAAAAAGATTAAATATTGAAATAATGCGGTGATGCTAAGTCAAGGGCCCGGAAACTAAAACGATGCGTCAAAAACCTCGTCAGTGCTGAGTCAGCAGTTGTTTTTAATCAAAGATGTATAAAAGAAAGGATTCTACGAATATTTCAAACATGTATAGTTTGTTGTTTATATATATGTATATATATATATACATATATATATATATATATATATATATATATATATATATGTATACATGTAGGTACAAACACACGTTTGTGTGTACCTAACACGTCAAGTTATGTCTAAATGATGCCATTCTAGTCAAGTTATATCAAGTTATACAGATATAACCGTGGAGATATCAATAGATCCTTCCCTGCTTCTTCATGAATCATATTTTCTTTGCCATCTATGCCAACAAACAAAAGGTTTGGCAAGACTCACCCATTCAAAATTATGTGTAAGGTGAAGTAATTAGTAAATGAATGCATAATTGCTTTCCAATAGTTAGGCGTGTATCCGGGAGTGACTGTGGTCCCGCGCTAATGAATGGGGTCATGAGTCCAGCCCGCAGTAGCGGAAACTGCCCGATCACTGAGCCAGTGCCCGTGACCTTTCATCAGCGGCTGGCAGCCAACCTATAAAAGCGAAAGCACTGTGGAAGTAGACATCACTTCTACTGCGCACCTGGCCGCTACAACACAACATGAAGGTATCTCCTTGAAGAACATTTTTGGCGTGGAACATTACCAAATGCAAGGAATATTGCGGGAAGTGCATCGCAGTAGGAACAGTGATAAAATATGTTCCATCAGAAACGTGGTTCTAAGGTGCACTGTAACATCAAATAGACGCGAAATAACTGACTTATGACAGCACATCGCTTGTGGCGTTGCAGGGTTTCGTCGTTGCCGCCGTGCTGGCTGTTGCCGCCGCCGCCCCGGCACCCGAGACGCCGGGCTACAATCCCTCTCCGGCCCCCTCCTATAAGCCGGCCTCTTACCACCCGGAGCCCCAGTACAAGGAGGAGGCCAAGCCGTTCGCCTACGACTACGCCGTCAACGACCACTACACCGGCACCAACTTTGCGAAGAAGGAGGAGAGCGATGGCCACAACACCCAGGGATATTACTCGGTGGCTCTGCCCGACGGCCGTGTCCAGCACGTCAAGTACGTCGCCGATGACTACGGCGGCTACAACGCCCAGGTCACCTACGAGGGAGAGGCCCAGTTCCCCGAGTACCACCCCGCTCCTGCCTATAAGGCCACTGCTCCGGTCTACAAGTCTGGTTACAGCTCTCCCGCCCCAGCACACAAATCTCCGGTATACTAGTCAAACCCTGAGAACGACCAGCTACTTAAATGCATGCATGTTGTGTTGTGATTATTTCTAACCAGCTGTATTTGAATGCAAGGAACTACGGTCTGAATTAACAAGCTATGAAGTATGGACCACGCAGTCTTGACTTAAGTGGCAATGTGTTTTTCACCGGGATAATTCCGGGAATGCGGCTATGTTGAAGGAATTAACATTCTTATGACATACTAGTGCGGCCCATGTGAATATCCTCCCAAGTAAGGATGTGGGTGCGTGGGGGCAAGGGCCATTTTAATCATTATTTTCCAGTCATCGCCAATAGAGGGACAATGCTACATATTCAGAGGGCTGGGAAAGGGGCTTTGTTTCCCCGCTCTCTTGGTTTTTCTCACACCTGGATTGGTAGGTGGAATGATTCATCTTTATGTCTTTTGCAAGAAAAAGATCGGTATAATGACAGGGTTGATTAGAGATTCTTACCCGGTTGTAACTGTCTTCTTGCCAAAGCAAGTAATGTCCTGTAAAGCTTAAGCCGAAATTCCCTTGAAAACGGATACAAAGTGCTTGACTTTCTCTATCTTCTATGCCACCCGACGACCTTATCAAATTGAAGAGCAATCGCTCTGCGCGTTTCTGGCATAACTCCTAGACCATTCCCAGCAGCATGCCACCCGACGACCTTATCAAATTGAAGAGCAATCGCTCTGCGCGTTTCTGGCATAACTCCTAGACCATTCCCAGCAGCAAAGTGTCAGACTGACGTAACTCCTCCAGCACTCAACCTTAGCACGACTGTCTGGTGTCTGGGCAGTTACTGTGTACGTCACACACGTCACGAGCAGGCACAGCCAATCAGCTAGAGTCACTAATGGTACGAACCCGACCCCAGTTTGAGGCGACCGAAAACTCGTACAGAATATACATCACAACAGAGGGGTGGGGAAAGGGATTTTGGGGCACCAATCGCTACCGTTTACCACCACCAATCGCGCCGGCATCAAGTCACCGAAGGGAATCTGCACCTCATATGTACCACACAACCAGGCGGGGTTGCTACCGAGCGTGATGACGTCACGACTGGCGCGGAGATGACGTCATTGCTGGCACGGAGATGACGTCATTGCTGGCACGGAGATATGCACGCATGTGCTGAGGAAGCGTATACGACTCAAATATCGAGCAGGCCTTCTTCGCTTCATTCCAGCACCTGGACGCCCGTGTGACACAACGGAGTCACACTGAACCCAGCTGAGTTCAGGCTCTGCCGCCGGGAGGTCACAGTTGTGAGACACCACCTCCTCTGGGCAAGATACAGAGTAGAGACGCTTTTCTCCAAAATGTCGGCCCGCAGCCCAACCCGCCCCGCCTAGGTAGTGGTGCAGCCTGCAAAAGCCCGCTTGCCCACAATGCTGATCCGCCATTAACGAGCGGGTATTAACACGCGCTCGGGTGGCCGGTTGAATACCCCTTGCTCGGGTGGATGGGAGTCAACTTGATCCTCTTCAAATGTCAACAACTAAGAGAGCCAGAAACATCAAATTCACAGGATGTGTTAGCCTTTTGTGTGAACGCACCTGTGTCAAAATTAGGGGCTTCTAGGTCATGACCTGAGTGTCAAATAAAGTTTATTAATGTCAAACTTCAGAATGGTGTCCAAAGTGCCCCCAAAATTTGGACACCTGTGCCAAACAAAAGGTCACTGACGCTCATGTAAGGTCGATGAATTTACTTGACCTTTCGAAATCATGGCGACCAAAATCATAGCAAACTACTTTCCGTTTTGTATTTGAATAGCCGTCGACAATTTCGCTAGGCAGTATGTTCTTAAAAAGAAAACGTTGACCCAGGTCATTTTAGGTCAGTGACCTATTACATCCTTTAAGAAGCTTACGGAAAATGCGCAATGTGGTTCGTGGTATCAATAAATTCGAAATAAGCACCATAAAGTACCCTACACTGTTAACTCTAACGTAATAAAGCAGGTCGGTTTAGACCTTGGCCTGGCCTTCATACCTGACCCTAGGTCAATGGGCTCTGTCCATTCAATCGTTGCGTCGCCTAAGAAACTCTCTCAAAGATATATGGCTTTCGTCTAACACTGTTGTTCGATGACATTGAACGATTCCCTAGACATTGTCTTCACTGAAACCATGGCCTGACTTTGAACTGCCGTACGTCAGCGATCTCACAAGGTACATTTAAATTTGTGATGCGAACAATCCGCTATTCAATTTTCTAGAGCTATGAAAGTTTAGCGCCGCTACATCGCGCCGCTCCAGAAACCACTCCGAAAAAGTTTTGGGGGTCAAATTACCCCCTACCCGAGCGCGTGTTGGGCTGTGCATATGTATGATATCACTTCACCTTTTTCGGAATTACACCTTAACATCCGCTCGGGCAGTGGGTCCGTTTGACCACTCGCCGGTTTTTTCTAGAATGGAAACAAATCTAGAAGAAAAGAAAAAGGTTGAGGCGTCATGGATGCCCTGGTGGCACTGAAATAGTCTCCCCCAAAGTACTCTGCACATCATCGCAGACGTGCAGCTCAGAAACCACAGGAGCCAAGGGTTTTAAGAAGAGCAAAGATGCCAATTGTCCTAAAGGATATTCAAGACGCTTTTTAGTTAAAAATCCCACACAACTTTGAAATAAATCCGTTAAAGCGTCCCTCGTTTTTCAGACATGTCTAAATGACTCACTGAGCTCACTAATCCAGGGCGCATGAGGGGGAAGGGGAAACGTACCCGACTCCTCAGCTATAACGGTGGTCGACCACATCATCCATAGGTGAATATTTTCAGGGAAATCGGTAGAGTTGACATTGGTCCTCTACAGCCTTTAACTGGGAAGAAATTCCCAAAAGTGGCTTACGCCTTGCTACCCTCTCTAATATGGAAGGAGCTCCAATCTGTGTGCGTCAATCTGTTCTGGTCACTTCAAAAGGTATTGCATCCCAGTGATGGTATCATAATCATGATATGGCTGTCATTAGCTTTGAGAATGTGCACGTCGGTTGCCGCAGCCGTGTCACCGAAACGCGCACAATGAAAAAGTCACGGCTTCTTGGGCTAAAACCACATTGTCTGACCAGTTTAGTTTGTTTAGATACAACAGATCAGGTCACAAAAAGTATCGTCACACAACATGTAATCGCTTAAAAAGCAGTTCGTTCTCAGCCTCTGACCAGCTTGCCGCAAGCTTGTATCCCAGTGGTGAATGAGCTATAAGTAGGTTTAAAGTTAGGCTTGTAAACCGAGACTATAGCCTTCTCGGAGGTGGCAAAGTGGAACTCGGGGCACTGGCTTTTCGTAGAGAAGCAGGAGGAGGTCACGAATTGCTCCAATAAGGTGAGGATGACCTCAGAGGGTCGTGCGAGGCCTACGCCACCAGCAACATCCTGCACATGTACCCCAACGAGATGAACCGCCTGCCTTCAATACCAACAAAGAAGTATGGGCATCTCATAGCACTGAAATACAACCGGTCAGAAAACTCCGTAACAGAACGTGTGTGCGTTTAAAATGAAGGTCGTTCTCAGTATTTTTCTAGCATGCAGCAGGCTTGTATACCGGGCGGGACACCGTGAGCAGGCTTGTAGACTTGCTTGCGAACCATGCCAGGTTAGTAAAAACGGAACATTCAAATTGTGACTTGTCATCCTGCTCTTTTGAAAAGCCCGTGCACGTTGCAGTCTCAACAGCGCACCTTTATTTCCCGCTTTTCGTTCTCTTATGCTGTGCCTGTTGCCCAAACCACGAGAAGGCATTTTCCCAAATTCTTGCGGTGGTTATTTCTATCATCTTCGGCTTTTTCCCTACAGTATGTAATGCAGTCCCATCCGAAGGCACCGTTATGTATGCTGGCGTGCCAACATGTCAGTTACGTATCTTGATCTACAGTACAATGCATCACGATACCAATATTACAATGCATATTACAATACCAATACCAATACCAATATTACAATGCATCACGATACCATCTCGTGGATTTTCGTGTCACGCCTTTGAGATTTGCAGGTTATTATCATTCATATGATGTAATATAGCGCGAGCGATGACGGCTTTCATGCATATTACTTTCCATGTTGGCGTTGGATCTTTATGAAGAAGTTTTTTATTGCTCTTAGTCACTGCAGCTGAACTGCACCCGTTAGCAAGCAGCTCAGCAAATACATCCTACGTTATATCGATGCCATAGGCGCACACGCAAATCCCCAGCCAATGTTGTGATGGGCATAACATAGGTTGGCATGACTTCGTTGAGGTATGAGCTGATCCAAAGACCACTTACCCAATTTGTTGAACCGCTCCCTCCCTTTATTAACATCAGGGGTGCACACGTATGTGGCCCGACAATATTGTGATGAACAGAAAATTCTTAAACCTGATCTTCTTGAGGTACGGGATTATAAAAAACATGTGCCTATGCGGCAAGCATATGCATTTTTATTTCTTTAAATGAACAATTTTTCAGGATACACGGAGTGACCGGTTGCTGCTCTTTGCGTTGGTGTACAGCTATTTAAGACGTTATTGGTCGATCACGATCAAATCAATACAGATTTACAACAGACCAATGTTGACAATACAGACCAATGTTAATTGCCAAATGCGTTTGGAGAACGACGAGAGTCAGATATACCAAACTGCATTTGTGTCCGGACAGAAAGTCCTCTGCATGCTGTCTTTGAAAAAAAGTGTACCCAAAGAAAGGTCTAACTTTCTAGAGTGCACAGAAGTCATAAACAGTGATGAATGGTCTCACTTTGGCACACACTGGTAGATATGAAGTACCTCACCGCGATGATGCACTGAGACGATATTAAGGAAGGATGGGCAAGAGAAGACAATTTGCAATTGGAGAGAATGAAAGGACGAAAAGGCTAGGACCCGAACAAAGATGAGTTTTAGAAGATGACGCCGTTCGGAGCAGCTTGTCAGGCCTACAATAAGCCAGGCTCAGCAGATCGAAATGTAATGGTAGACCCCAGGGACAAAAGCACACGAAGCATGAGGATGAGTGAATGATTATCTGTTCATTCTTATTTCAAAGATCCGCTCTCAGTGCTGCTCTTCACATGTTATGTCTACAAGACTTCCAACGCTTCTCTTGTTTTGGATATGCATGTGCTAAAAACATGGTATTGCTTTAAAGTACTTTGATCTTAGAAGGAAAAAGTAAGTTTTTTCTTGGCAAATCAGCAGCACGCACCGCTTGATCCAGCACAGCGTACAGTGGATGTGGCACTCTGGGGATGGTGCGCCGCTTACGCCACCATCAACGGCATGCACATATAGCCTAATAGTATGAGCCACGTACCAAAATTGACAATAAAGTTGTCTGGGCAGCTCGTTCCATGGATTGGCACGGACCGTTAGCGACAACCCTAAGCACGCTCCACTTCCGCCATGCGACTTTTGCGCCCATCGAAATGACTGTTCCACATCTGAAGGCATCCAGGCAGGCATGAAATATGAAACAACATCTCACTTCTAAAGCTTTTTGGAAGCAAAAGGCTGCTATACTATAACAACAATTTGCTGTAATATAAAAATTGCTTCAAGATATAGCATAAGTGGCTCTAAATAGCTAAATAATGTAACTGTTTATGTAATAAAAATACTAACAGTCCAGCGATGAATGAAAATATCTAACCTGCCCCAGTGCTACTCCACTTGCCAACAATTTAACTGGGATATTTCATCGCATACAAAATGAAATTCAGCAGGACCAAAAAAAAAACTCGCCCCGATCGCCACTCCCTCGCACCACAGTCGGCGTCACGACTCGTGTAAGGTTGAATTGCCATTATAATTGCTTGCGGTTTAAGGTTGTCACGCAATTAGTCAAATCGTCGTTAAATTATAAGCAATCGGCTCGCTTGTCACATATGTCGGCCACAACGTTTGTTAGCTATGGGCACGAAGCACCCAGTCGCTCTGCATCCCTTTCTGGGAATAAAGCTTCTGCATGAGCACTCACTTTCATGCCATTGGAGTACTATTAGAATAACCGCTAAGGAAGTGAAGCCCATCATTGTATTCGCTGCATAATTCTACGCTACTGGCTCGCTCGTCATGTGAATCTTCCTAATAAAGACTAACAGCATTATGTCTAAACTCCAGCGGCTCGACGTGCATTGAAGACTTGGCACCAGTGACGTCGCGCTAACTTTTTGTGGGCCGATGCGAGGATGCTGTCTTCTTCTCTCGACGGACCCTCGAGCTAAACGAAGATGAAGCGAGAATCACCGGACGGTTTTACCACAATTATACTATCATATGTCCGGTGCAAATATATTACAAAGGTGCCTCAACATGAAAAGTCTAAGTTTTGAGGCGTTTGGGCTGTGGCTTTGCTTTAAGTAATGCTTATTTTGTAGAACCTAGATTTGGCCCACATCATATCCGTATGCTGCTGTTTAAAAGCCTAGTTGTGTATGCGGCAACACAATCTGCATTTTGAATGCATATTGCCAATATGCGAGGCATCGATGCTTTATAGGAGATGGTTCATATCTGTAAAAGGCGATTGATAGCTTAATTTGCTTAGAACATGCTTTGAAACAAGGAATGCGCATGCATTCATGTGCTGGCCGGCCAGTTCCGTCTTATGCCTCTGCCTCTCTAAGGAATGCCGTGTGGGAGGGGGGGGGGGGGGGGCATTTTACTGATATGAGCGATCCCAAGCATTCAGCCTCATACCTCCATCATTGGTACCACCCTCATCGACAATGTCACAGATGCCCTACCGCAGGCACAATTAAATGCAGCAGATAAAAAAACCCGCCACGATCGCCACTCCCTCGCACCGCCGTCGCCGTCACCACGCGTTTGAGTTCTATGGTTGTGATTGTGCGGGGTGTGTGCCCTCGCCCTCGCTGTCTTCCGAGCTCTACATCTGACTAGGTGCCGGGGAACGGTCACGTGACCGGGGGTCTCCCGATCCGCCGGGGGGTCAAGGGTCGGCGCTGAGGCGGCGGCAGGGACCGGGCGCTCGCATGCGCCAGTCGATTTTTGGATGAGTGGAGGGTAGTGCGATGCCACCACCCACAGTACCGGTGGTGAATCAAGTATAGCAGGAGCGGAATTGGCCGAGTGACCATGCGTTGTACAGTGGATGAACCACATCGCATGTAACTGCGAGCAGAAAAATAAACTGGCCGCAACAGAATGTGATTGGATCATGCTATGGACGTTGGCTTTAATTTTGATCTAAAATGAACGGCAGACTTCCCCCACTCCCACAAAAATCCTTCGAACTTATTTCAGTTCAACAAAAAACTCCGAGTTGATGGTTTAGGACGACTGTGGAAATTGCCCTCATTTCAGATGGTGTCAAAAGACAATTGGCTAGGCGTGATTGACTCATACGTGATAGGATTGCGTTTGTGTTGCAGTATTTCGCATCTGTGTCACGTTTTCAGGAGTCTGTCGGCCCGAGGAATATAGCTGACCATGGCGCCGTG